AACCAGGGCCCAGAGAGGCTGCCGTTGAATCGATCTTGGTCCCCCAATGCTCGAGGGTGTAGCCCCCGGGCTCCTATACACCATCAATCTATGTCTGGATCCCCTCCAGCAAAACCCTCGGAGCCGTCCGCAGAGAAGCCTCGGGGATATCCTTCCTCTCCTGTAGTTACAGCTGAGCGGTCTGTTGCGCCTGCATTGGAGCTATCGCAAGTACCGGTTAATGAGCCACTGCCACGATTGGGATATAACGAACAGGGACCGGTATATGCTGGATCTCCACTACCAGGGGCAGGAGCACCGCCATGTCCACTCCCAGCACTGGACACAACGCATCCCACAGGTCGCTCACTGGCACAGAAATCAACCCGACGTACAAAAGCTCATGTGGCATCAGCTTGTGTCAATTGCAAGAAAAAGCACCTTGGATGTGACCCAGCTCGTCCATGTCGACGATGTGTGCTTGCTGGAAAAGCCGTAAGTGTTAAGAAAATCCCCAACCGTGGAATCGCAACTAACGAACAGAGGAAAAAGTCAACATGCGTGGACGTCACGCACAAAAAAAGAGGACGACCCCCATTGAAAGCAGAGGATTCGACTCTTAGGTCCTATACCACACATTTGGAGAACCCGACTATTCCTGCGGAGGCCCAACCAACCATGCCCCCGCGGCGGACTATTATGCATCGGGCCACGTCTTCACGAGAACTACGGCCCATGACGGATCTACAGGGATTGGGAGATGTAAGTTCAGGAGTACGCACACCACATCGGTGGTCGGCTTCTGTATTTCCCCTGACCCGGCCTATGGACCCCTCTCCCACGGTCCCGGGAGGTATGATTCGACGCCCATTCTCTTCATCTGGACCGCCATCGCATGCAGTACCGACACATTCACATGTACCTTTACCATACATGTCAATGGCAGGGTTTAACCCGGCCTTAAAGGTCAACACCATGCCTGGTGGCATAGAGCGGCGATTCCCAACATATGGCGTCCCAGCTTTACCACCACCAACATCACCTCCTCAACATCAGCCACCACCAGCCGGCATACCCTTTCTACCGTATACTGAGACACCCGGGAATCCTATCCGCTCAACAAATGATCCACGAGTATCGCTATCACCTCGGGACCCATACATCATCGAATCCCCAGTCCGGCTCCCCCCAATCCACCAGGCCACAGCCGGGCCACCCCCTCCCCACCATGTCCATCGCCTGAGCGATCCATACCCAATGAATTGGACTCTCCCAGGCCGAGAAGAACCCCTCCACGACCCTCACGCTCTACCTCTCCACAGATCCGCAGGCCCAGCCTTCAACTACTCCCTCCCTCACCAACGCTCCTCCTCCATAACAAGCGCAACCATGGACCCTACACCCCGCCACCTTGGGCCAGTGGAACTGCCATCCCCGATCCAGAGGGCATCTGCCAACTCGCCTTCCATGACGAGGGCTGATCCACCCAGCACTGAAGCCGAAGGTCACGATAGCAGACCGATCAAACGGCGCAAGATGGCTTTGGATGACATGGTCAATGGCTGATTCCGGCACCACTGCTCTCGATCCCATCTGCGACCTGATACTGATACTAATCGGAGGCTGGAGTTCCTCCTTGTACTGTATAATCATACTCTTGAATCCCCTGTAGCAGGGTCTATGGGGACTAATCATTGCCGTGTGCGGGTCTTTTCTGGTGCGAGCACTGAGCAAATGACTCGACGGACATTTCTGGTTTCAACATTCCGTTTCGTCGGCTTAGTCATTTCCCATTTCCCAGGTCTCGTTTTGTTTTGTTTTCCCAAAATGCAGGACACGAAAAAGCATATGTTCTCATTTCCCGGTGTTTTCATTTTTTCCCCTATGTTTATCTGCCAGGATATCCCAATCGAATTGTTTCCTGGTTTTGCTTCGATTGCATTTATCATATCCCATCTCACGACAGCTTTCTCGGACTTGCTTGTCTCTCCTCTGCTGGACAAAGAAGGTGGGCTGGTTGAGGGTCTCTTTTACCTGCCATCTCCTTTGCCATATCTTTATCTCTTTTGTCACTTGCATCTCATTTGTCTATCTCCTTTGATTCCCCTTCTCGCGAGTACCCCTATAGTTGATGCGCGATTTTTTGTCCCCAGGATATCATGGCACGGCGTTTCGCGGCGAACATGGGGGTGGTCTTGCATTGGTTTTTGTTCCTTATTTCTTGGCTCTTGGAGTACATGAAATGTCATTGTCAACTTGGTTTGGCTGTTTCTCTTGATGTGTCTGCGCGTTGTACTTCAACGTCTGTACGTGTATGCGTATGTATATGCACGTGTAGGAACTAACATACCACTTATCCTTTTCAATCTTGGACTTGATCTGGGTCATTGTTCTATAGGGTAATGGGGGAGCTTATGTGTTCTTCATTTATCTCGCAGGGATAGATAGAGCCATGTACAGCTTTCGCTATAATCAACCATTCAACTGCGAAGGCTATAAGTTTCGCCACATATAATACTGCAGTACGCTTATACAGATGAAGGATTTTCTAGTAAAGAACATGGATAGTTTTTATCTCAACTTGCTTCGGTTTTCAGGGAGGTTTGACAACCTCCAGGAATCGCCGATGACATGACGCAAATAATTTTGGCCTGCTTCGAGATTAAAATCAGAGTCGCTTTGGCCAAAATAATAACCGTCGGGCAATTATATCATAAAAACATACACGACAAAAGAAAAATATTAAAAAATGCACGAAAAATATTAAAAAATGCACTAAGAGGGAATCGAACCCCCGGCACAACATAACTCGCAGTCACATGACTACTGGAAGTGTTATATGTTACCACTACACCATTAGTGCTGGTTATGATAATAATTCAGTTATCGATTCTATGGCGAATTTTTCAAGCAACTATTACATGCCTCAGTATTGAGATCTGCTACCTGTCGACAGTCTAAAAGAATTTGCTGCTATAAATGTCGTGGCGGGCGTCAGTAAAGGACTAACTGTGCCCTAACCATTTATAGCAAAGTGCAGTCGAAAACAATTATCCAGGTGTCATTTTACTATGGCTCCAAAATAATATATATCACTGGCGTTTTACTCTATTGTGTGCACTTTTGACAAATTAATTATGAATGAAAGCAAAGAAACAAATCTCCAATACACATCAAAGGAGAAAATTACGTCTAGGATCATCCAGAACTATCGATCCGCCTTGTGCATGGGAAGCTTACCACCTGGGCAGGCAAACTTGCTTGGTGAGACAGACACCCAGACCCAGAGATAAAACCCGCCACTTTTCTTTTCCAACCTTCCTCATTTCGGCCGCCACTCCTATTTATACAATTATAACTTTATACGTCCCTTATATCATTTATGCTTGCCAGAAGACACCAAGTGCTTTCGACTTTCAATTCTTGAGTACGAGGCAATTCCAGGCGGTCCAGATGACTGGGTTGCCCGGAGAGGCAGATGCACAAAGGGAGACGGCAGCCAACCAGTTTGACAATTTCTACGAATTCGAGCTTTCCTGATACTTCCGATAGCAGCCAAGCAAGAATAATCTTCCCGTGTCGACTTCGAGCAGTAAAGGTCATCCAAGTACTTCCTCTTCAGCGCTTTACCCTCAAAATTCGGGGGTTTCAGCATGCTATATACATGGTGGACGACCCAAAGCGAATTTTGATTCGTTGCAAAGTTGCTTGGCAGAAGAGGAGGGATGTACCGAGGAACTTTGCACCAACATTTGAATATTTGCGGAACTACACGCAGTGAGGATTCATGGCAATAAGGGACCCGTTACATACACCCGAGAGGGTCGCAAGGACTTCGTGGTACCCAGCAAGTCATACCAACCTTCACTTCTCCAGACCACAATAGCCCCGAAGGGTCCCGTAATATGATTTCTGAGGAGGAAGTGTGAGTACACACTGGTGACCTTATATGAGTAACGTTAATACTAATTTGCTAGTTCTATAGGAGCATCTATTCCAACAGCCTACAGCATAATCTGGATTCCACGATCCCACCCTATAGATTAAACGACTCGCAGATATCAGTGAGAGGAGAGGCCCTAGAGATCTAGTGCGAGAAATAGGAGGCTTTGGAAGATCTCTCTCAGGTTATGAGCGCCATGTATTGAAGCCACTGTATCACTGCATGCTTCATGGCCCCTGTTTCTCTCCGATTGGTGCTTTCTGCGCCGCACCATCCCATTGTGGAGCCCTGTGTGGTCATCTCATCAACCGTCAAAATCGCAGAATCGACAGTTGACCGGTCGAATACCGAGTTTTGAACCACGACAAACCCAGAAGGCTCGCAACCGGGGCGACAGACACACTTTATCCAACATGCCGTCGACCTTCGACTACGATTTCGGTCGTTGCAACGAATCTGACATCGGCTAGTGGGGAAATTACCGACGAAATTGAAAAACGTCGAGCAAGCTACTATATATACGGTCGGCTGCCCCGCTCAGTTTTCTAAGTCCGAGGGGTGACTCGCGCCCAGAAGACTCAAGTCACCAGGCTACCATTCAATTTCGACGCCAAAGAGACTTTCCTGCATGGAAAATCCTCGTCTTTTTCCATCGCAAGCTGACTATTCGCAATTATGCGAAGTCCGAACCATCTGCCCCAACCTCTCAATCATTGTCTGCGACTGCCGCCGTCGGGCAGTCAAGTACCGCTTTTAGTGCTGCTCCATCATCGGAGAATCAACAAACCCTTATCGGCAACGAAGATCAGATGGTCTTAGAGGAAGTAAACGATGAATACGTCCCAGCCTCGGGCTCCAATGGCCCCTAGCTTGCTGACGAGAATCTCTTCCGTACTCCGATGGGCAGCATCGACACGGCCCTCAACAACCCGAAGACTGCTCGCTTGAACCGTCCTTTGCTTGCAGATTCAGATGTTATGCAACTGGCACACTCGCTGTGCGGCCCAATCTTCAAAAAAGAACCGTGTGTTATGGGAAGCAGGCATTGATGCACGTATGATAAACCGAGCATTAAACGTATATATAATTCTTTCATTTTCATAATGATACATGCAACACTACGTGGCTAAAAAGGAAGTAAAAAAGTGACCAATAGAAATGTAATGATGATGCTGATCTAACTGTAATGAAGCGCTCTAACATAGCCTCGTAACAACAAGTGGGCAAAGACCTGAAAGCCAGAAAGAATCTTAAGGGGCAAAGAGCGATCTGACAAATACATGTGAGTAACTTAGAACCAACGCTTTAATGCAACAGAGCCCCGTAGATCGACTAGGTCCCCGAGGAACAACTTTGTTATAAGAAATTCCTCTATAGTATGATAAGCATATAGTGAAACGTAATAAGAAGTGACTGGTATAATTTTAATGTAACTAAGCGGAATGGCAATTCCATGTTCACATTATAAAATGCTCCACATCACACTTCCTCGCAAAGATAGTCAGAAATATGGTAGATCTACACCACATGATATATATAGGTAGCGCGTATTATGACAGAACAATACATACATGTACGCAACAACTGTCGGATTTAGTGGTGCCCCTAATAGGATGGATGTCCATGGTCCGACCTGAGCTAAATCCAAATAGGGAATTTCTGCGTATTCGCACCCCCACGATCTATTTTCAGTTTCAACAACCTAGGATGGCAAGAACAAGACCAATCAAGCCCAATCCCTGATAGACATATCGGTCTTTGCGTCAGTTCTAGGCTGCCAGTTTTAATATCCAGTCTATATGTAGTGTCTCGCAACGTAGCTACTACTTAAAACGAATACGACGTCGCTCTACTGCGCCTTCGCGTCGTCTATGGAGATCGATCTCTCTAACGCAAAGCCCATTAAGGCCCGGCGGACGCATCGGAAGTCGCGGCTAGGTTGCGCCAATTGCAAAAAACGTCACATAAAGGTGAGACTCTTGCTGTCGTTTTTCTCACGTCCTTTTAATGGAGTGCTTATGTCACATCACTTTGTGCTTTAACACATTTTCAAATTACTATATTCTCACCTTCTCTTCTCCACGCCTATTATCATTATGTTGGGAATACTGCGAGATTTATTCTGTTTCCGCCGACGACGAGACATCGAGCTACCGGAAGCTGACTCGTTCCAGTGCGACGAAAAAAGACCAGCCTGCTCCAACTGTTCAAGCCATCTGATCGAGTGCGGGTATAACAACACTGCAGAGTTAGCCAGGTCACAATCTCCAGAAACTTACACTGAGCGGCTACATCGAAGCCGCTACCGACCTTATCGCCATGCTGCAGGCGGACTCAAACAGTCTTTCAAACAATCCAATATTCAGCCATCGGAATTCACCCAATCGACTGGAATACAAGGTAGTCTGTCATCGGGCTTGATCAGCGCCATTTCCCTGGCAGACCTGCAACTTTTACACCATTACACCATTGGCACGTACCAGACTATGACTACTGGTCCAGATCTCCAGACTATCTGGCAAAAGAACCTCGTACAATGGGGGATTGAGTTTCCATACATTCTACATCTCATTCTTGCTTTATCTGCCCTCCATCTGGCTCACGAACAGCCAGACCTCCAAGAGCAATACATCCAACAAGCCGACAACCATTTCAGCTTCGGAGTCCGATCAGTTACAAGCGTGTTCACCGAGCTTAACGCCGACAATTGCCAGAGAGTATACATGTCTGCCGTTATGATATGTTTCATATACTTCGGCAGAGGCCCACGGCCAGGAGAATACCTGATCTTCAGCGACAGCGGACCCGCCGAGTGGCTAGTTCTTATGCGCGGAGTGCGACTAGTTGTTTCATCCCACCATGCGAAAGTCTTCAGTGGAATTCTCGATCTGAGACCCAATGACCGGAGTCGGGACCTAACAGCTGAGATGCGCGATGAATTGCACGAACATACTATCAACACTGAAGCGGTCAAGCAGCTCGTTGAGAGGGATATGACTGATAATGAAATTCGTGGCAGCTACCTGGCTGTTATTGAAAATCTCTTCAAAATCATGCGCGAGGTTTACGAGAGACGATCTGCCGGGTCTTCTGGTGTGGACTTGATGGATCTTGTAATGGGATGGTTTTATCGTCTCCCCGAAGAGACGATTAGCTCTTTAGAGCGGAAGGAGCCACATATCCTTGTAATACTAGCGCATTGGGCTGTGCTTATGAAGTACATGGACTCGGCGTGGTTTATGAGCGGCTGGGCTGAACATATGCTATCGGGGATCTCTACGTATCTGCATGAGGACTTCCGTCAGTGGATTGAGTGGCCATTGAACCAGGTGTACCCAACTCCGATTGAATAGCTTTGTATACTATTGAATTTAATACATATTGGAGTGATCTTTCACCGGTATAGTCCTGAAAGTGGTGAACTCTTTGGTAGCAAAATTTTCAACTCGATGAAATTTCTACTCTCAAGCAAAAAAACCTCGGAACTTCCACAAGTTCTGCCTAGGCTACGAAAAGACCAGGGTTCTTTTTTACCTGATAAATCTGAGCAAATAAGCATGGAACGGATCGGGTGGGTCCGCAGCGACGCGTATTCGTTCCAAAAATTTCCTAGTCAGGTAATGGCAACAGATCGTCAAGAAAATAGGGCGGTTAAGCTTGGTTTAAAAATAGGCGGGCCGTCTCATAAAGGCTTGACAATTCCTCCGCTTGTATCAAGATGATCCGTTAATCCTTACTATCAATTTCCCTCCTTCACAATGGATATCGACTTCCACCCCGGTGTGAACGGGTCCAAGCCTTATGTCGTCTTCTACCCATATACACCCTCCGAAACAGCAGGCTATGCATTCATGGGGATGTTCGGCATCATGACGGTCGTCCATTTTGTCCTGATGTTTCCATATCGCGCTGCATATTTCATTCCTCTTGTTCTGGGAGGTGTTTGTATTTTTGCCCTTCCCTTTAAGTGCTATATTGGAATCCGACTAACACAATCTTAACCAGGTGAAATGTTTGGATACTACGGTCGAGCATGGTCCCACAAAGACAGAACAGATATCGGCTCATGGGCCCTCCAAGAAATGCTCATCCTTTGCGCCCCGCCTCTCATCGCCGCAACTGTCTACATGGTCCTCGGTCGAGTCATTCGCTCCTTCGGCGCCGAACATCTGGCCAGCATGACACCTAAAAAAATCACGGTCATCTTCGTATTGAATGATGTACTCACTTTCTGCACGCAACTAGGCGGGGCTGGTGTCCAAGTTACCGGAGACCCGAATGTCATGGCCATCGGCAAGAAAGTCGTCCTAGCGGGTCTGATCTTCTCACTGGTCGTGTTTGCCTTCTTCATTTGGATTGCGGCAACCTTGCAGCGACGACTTCAGAAAAATCCTACCGATATTTTGATCATGCACGATATTCATTGGCGGCGGTACATGCTGGCTTTGTATGTCGCCTGTTTTGCGTTGATGATTCGAAATCTTGTTCGGACTATTCAGTTCGGGGCGAATAAGAATTCGCCCGTCAATCAAAAGGAGCTATATATCTACGTGTTTGATGGATTTCTTATGTTCTTTTCTATGCTTGTGTTAGCTGTCTATCATCCTGGTCTTCTAATCAAAAAGGCTCGTCGGCTGAGGAAGGTTTCTGATTTTCATGAGCCTCTGACGAGTGACAATAGGGTGCCGGATATTGAGCTGACTCGGTATTAGCCACGGATAATGGTAGCCTAGACTGTGCTGGTCACTATCTTGATTGCAGTTTTAACTTTAATATTTCCTCTCTTCTTGTTGATTTTGGGGACTTAGATGGCGCGTGGTTTCGAAGGTCGTTTTCTTTGGTTACGTGTTTCTAATAGTCTTATATAGATGGAAATTTATTAAATATTTTTCTACTTCAGCGTCATGCCAGAACCAACCTTGGGAGGAGACATAGAAAGACACAGATGAGACGCAGCACGGAGTTGGCGGTCGAACAAGACAACAAGACCCACACTCTAGCGATCCCCTGGCTTTCCTTCAGGCACATAATTCCCCAGTTCGATCTCGGGATTGATACTTTCTAGATGTTTGATTGATAGCAAATTCACATGTCAGTTATGCAGTTTCCTAGATGAACTTCATACATGGCGCCTCACTTGTGTAGGGACATAAAGAGTGGATTATTTTTGGAGCATGGAGCACATGAGTTGCGATATAATATGTTCACAATACTGCCGTCTGACAAGAGAGTCCACTACAAGGGCCACGTCAAAGTGCATGGCTGAATTTGTGAGGTTGATTGTACGCAATGGGCACGGGAGAATTCCCATTGGGGAAAACCGCATGGGTCATGTGACGCAACTGTGTTTGTGTTGAAGACGTTTGTTCCTGCTAGCCTTTGAACAACGATATTCTCGAGGCCCAGAAACTCTTATGAAGCTATACTATAGCACGAACCATATGCCAGCTGGTAAATATGGAAAAAGAAAAAAAAAGAAAATCGTCAGCTGCAGGGTTCGAACCTACGCGGGCGAACCCATTAGATGGTGAACGAGAACATTGTCCAGGTAGTTCACTGGGGTGAGGGTTAGTACAGAACAACACGGGGATCGCAAGGGTTACGCACAGTCTAACGCCTTAACCACTCGGCCAAACTGACGAAAGGAGTAATTTTAAGAAAGCTAAAAAAAAACAAATTGAGTTCCAAAGAAGGCAGCCAAGTGTAGCTAGTTTCAAACAGAAAAAAAGGAAGCCTTGCATTGTGGGGTCCCTTTCGTGACCAGAATTCAGGTAATTCTCTTAAGCCTGGGGCCTAATATTTTGTCAGTGTAAGGTGATAGGTTGTGAAAAGCAAAAAGAGAAAAATGCAAGCGGTGGGGTTCGAACCCACGCCACTTTCGTGACCAGGGTTCAGATTAACTCTTAAATCTGGCGCCTATTGAGTTGTTAGTCTGATCCGGTTAGTCTTCAAAATTAGGAATTATGTACCTTAGACCACTCGGCCACACTTGCCTGGAAGAGTAATTCTGAGGAAGATAGAATAAAACCGGTTTATTGGACGAACAAGAAGCAGCTGGTACGCAAACACACTGAATGAGGATGTTGTTTGGCCTTGTAAACGTAGCACAATGAGCGGAAGTCTCGAGGGAGAGTACATAGAACAAATGGTTTCGACAAACAGGTTATCAGGATAACCTTGAAAAATGCAAAGTTTAGTTCATTGCAATCCGATTTAGAAAGAATGTATCGAAGGGCGTGTTCGACTAACTCAAATATACAAAGAATGTGGGTGATAGGGGACGGACCAGAGCCGGATAAAGTTGGCACGTCTTAGTCCATGGCCTTGCTTAATGATCCAGCAATGAAGCGATTTCTCGGATCCATTTCGGATAGCTGCGTTGTGCTGAGGTAGCCGATATCTTGGTTCGCCGGCTTGTCCGACATAAGGACGCCAATAACCAAGGCTTTGGATGTGTGTCACAAAATCGAGGTATCCGGCGTGGGGGCATCCCAGATCATCTCAACTGAAGCTTGCTTCAAACGAATGCTTTCGAGCCTAGGTAGTAAAATATATGTGGTTAGGCAAGTAGTGGTCTCAAACGAAGGATATTAACTTACTCCCGTAGTAATAATTCTACCCTGCAGTGCCTTGATTTCTGGCAGAACTGTGTCATAAATCGTATCGACAAACGCGTCTTGGCCTCCGACAGCTTTGAAAACCATCTTATAAGGAGCGCGGGTGAATTCAACTGGTAGGGTCTAGTCCGAGATTGTGAAGTTGGAGAGTGTAAGCATGATCGGCTTTAATTGGGGGGAAACAATCTAGGAAATAAGCACAGTATTAGTGGTATAGGCTTGATATATGCGCTGGGATCCTACCCTAAGGACTGGCAGATCGTCAAGTCTAAACAAAATAGGTGAAGGGGTGGTTGGCGTTTCGTCAATGTTGGGACAAGCCGGCTTTCTACCACAACAATCACAAAATGGAGTTGCATCGCACAAGTCGGGGTAGCCTGTTCTGGGAGCGAAATGGTCCTTGCAATTTTTGCAAATTGGGTCACAGTTATGACCTGGAAGAACAAGTCGACGGCAATCCAGGCAACAGAATGTTTGGCTAGCCTGCACCTGAGCCTGGTCGTCGTCCTCCCTGTAGCGAGGCGCGGAACGAGGCCATTTACGATAATATCGACGAGGCATGGTTGATAAACAAGGGTGAATAAAAGGATGATGGTTTCTCGGGTACAAGAAGAGAGTTAGAATGATGGAGGTCAAAGAGATTTGAGAGATATGAGAGAGGGGAGAGAGAGAAGAGAGAGCAAGGAATCTGTTGTTCTCTACTGTTGAGGCCACAACGAAACTGAGCAACGGGGAAAATCAAGAAGAAGAAGCTTCTGCATCAATCCATCAAAAGAAAGGCCTTTTATAGGCCACAAACAACAAAGGCTCAGTCTGAAAAACCAGGCATCTACTTATGGGAGATGGGATCATCCAACATCTACGAGCAAATTTAGGGTAGCTGAATAGCTACTGGGAGACAGACAGACAACGCATCAAGGTGCCTGGGTATCTGTCTCAACAAGAGGAAACACAAAAGGAAAATCAAAGACCGTTTGACAGTTGTCCTTCTAAGCTTAAATTGAGGCTTATACTAAGCTAAGTTTTTGTCTTATATCATGTCCTGAGACTTGAAATCGGTAAATTCAATCCGAATCTATCACACGAGGTTAAAGGAGCATGGATTGTCGTGGTGTTTACTGACTGGAACAGGAAGATACCTGCTGGAGCTCAGCAATCAGGGTTCATAGTAAAACATAGTAAAAGTGTCTCAGTAGTTGGACCATGGGGAAGGTAAGAAAAGTCGAATAGTTATAGGGCGAGAGGAGCACTTTATAGAACCATGTGTACGGAGAACTCTACTCATATACCTGCATGATCACCACTGTACTAGTAGGGAAAATAGTAGACAGTAATTCCGATAGCCCTGGAGATGAAAACAGATTCCGTAATCACAGGCCGAGGCTATTTCCCGTGATATACTTCCAAATATACCAACGAACTTCGTTCTTTATTCTAACAAAATACTGGTTTCTGCCATCGTCAAGGTATTTCTTAGGATAGAGCTGGCCGTCGTACATATGGTCATACGACTTGATTCTCACACTATCCAAGCTTTCCAAACTGCCGGGTTCTTGCATGCTTTCAGGCAAAGCAGGGAATTCCTGAGCTGACAGATAACTGTCTACGCCAAGCGCCAGGTCGTGGGCATGCCTCATAATTTCAAGAGCTATGTGAAAGCGGTTCGCGGAAAAGACCTCGGCAAGAGGATTATGCTTATGCAGCAGGAGTCAGAAATGATACCACGAGGTCTTCTTGGGGGGGGGGGGGGGGGGGGGGGGGGGGGG